TGGGGACACACACAATCAACTGTATCAAATCGATTTCTAAAAAATCGACTTCTATTAAATCGACCTAATTTCATAGTGTAGACATAATCTTAGTTTCTTAGCCCCCAGATGTGGGGTCATTTGACATTATATTGAAGGAGATATTTGGAAGTAATCAAAAGGATAATACACTTAAATCTGCAATGGAAACAGAAAAGCATTTTTTCAGACTTAAGACGGTGCATTATATGAAAACCAAACAATGCCAAACGTTTACCGCCTTTTGACATTCATTAAAGATATTTACCTTCAAATATTATTCAGAACGGGAATATGCACTTTCAAAATCGTGTGCAAAATGGCTCATTAATCTTCCTATAAAACCTAGCCTAGTGACAGTGTAAGTCAGTGTCTCCATAGTGACCCATGCTGACCTTGTTCCTGGGCAGTAACTGTGAACATCTCTTCACAGATGTTTCCACTTCTAATAGCAGCTCTGTGACGTGAACTCCTCTTTCAGGGACCCTAGGCAAGTCCACATTCATTTTCAGTTTTCACACAAAGGACAACAATTATAAATTAACAAAGCCCTTCAACAGAGGCAGTAGCACTTAGAGCGGAGATTATGAGGGACCTGAAGCAGTGATCTTTCAACACAGGGTCCCTGAAGTACTACATCAGTGCCACCTTATGATCTTTTTATTAATGAAAGTTTTGCTTCGATTTTACCCTATTAGCACATTGTTGGTTGTGTTAACAATGAGAGGTTGGTGCCAAAGCACTGTTAACTTGTTCTGCTTTGCCTTTTTGATAGCCTCCTGTCTAGCCTCCAGGAATTATCATGCTGCCTGAACAGAAAAAGAGACAAGTTACTGCATATACGCCATGTCATTTTCTTTCTCTCCTGACAAAAGCAAAGGGCTAGGTGCTCAGCTCGTGTAAACTGGCATTGCTCCACGCACAGCAATGAAGCTATGCTGACTCACAGCAGCTGAGGAGCTCCCCTTTTTTCAGAAGTGTCTCATATAAGAGCGTGTACTTATGAAAGGTGTACACTGCTAAGAAAAAAGATTCTACCCTCTCTTTCTAGTTTCCCTCTTTTTATACCTGCAATACAAGCATCTACCATGGCTGTCAGCTAATGTGTTTTTAAATGAGCTAACACCTATTAGGTTTGATTCTCCTCTCAGGGCTGGTCCACGCTAACCCCCCAGTTCGAACTAAGATACGCAACTTCAGCTACGTGACTAACGTAGCTGAAGTCGAAGTATCTTAGTTCGAACTACAGGGTACTTACCGCGGGTCCACACGCGGCAGGCAGGCTCCCCTGTCGACTCCGCGTACTCCTCTTGCGGAGCAGGATTACCGGTGTCAACGGCGAGCACTTCCGGGATCGATTGCTTACCGCCGAACCCGGAGGTAAGTATAGACGTACCCTCACTTACACTAGTGTAAATCAGGAATAATTCCAATGAAGTCAATGGAGTTACTCTGATTTTGAACAGGTGCAACTTCATTCATTTCCATGGAATTACTTCTGATTTACATTGGTATAAGGGAACAATCACGCCTCGTGCACACACTGTGGCCTGGTCTACACTTAATTTTTGCTGGCATAGCTATGTTGATTGGGAGTGTGAAAAAAACAGGCACATGCCTAATTGACATTGCTATGCTGGCAAATGCCGTAGGGTAGACAGTTATACTAGCAAAAAAGTTTGTTGGTGTTATAGCTTATTTTGTTCAGGGAGCTAGGATAAGCTATATCAGCAAAATAACTTTTTTGCTGATATAAGCTCACTAGGAGGGTTTGCCAGTATAGCTGTACCATTGTAACTATGCTAACAAACCCTTCCTAGCTTAGACAAGGTCCACATGAAAAGCAAAGAGCAAAGAATTGCCTCCAATCTAAATAAATAGATCACTGAAGTGGGTGGATTGGGCTATTTAGAATTCTGATTTGCTTTCTGGTAGGTGAAGATATAAAGTTGAGGATGACTGGAAAGTATTTTGGGGGACAACTGAAGATTTTGGATCACTTCTGGGGGAAATGTAGAATTTATAAAAGAGAAAATACCAATACATGTAGTCTGTTTGACCCAAACCAATGTCAAAAGGGTAAACCATTAAGAAATTAATTCATCAAACTTGTTTCAAAATAAAAAGGGAGGAAATCTTGAAATGCAAAGCACTTCTCTTTTCTTGTTTCTTTCCTTTCTCTTTACCTCCTCCTTGGGTGCCATTTTGGAAAGAGGAGAGGGGGGAATAATGTTGTTCAGCAGATTTGTGTGTGTTTGTGCTGCCATAAATCTGTTCTTTCCTAGTCCTCTGAAATACCCTCCCTGTCTTCAGCCTCACTGCCCACTATATTATTTTCTCTCGCATTGATATCTATTATTTTATAGCACCCATAATGGTGCTAAATACTTCACAGAGGGCATGGTCTCTGAAGCCTAAATTAAAGGTGTCATACAAGTGGGAGCAATGAATAGTATGGCTCTGATGAAACAGGAAGACCAAGGTATGCAGCAATATGATCATGTTATTATGCAAATGTACATCTTAGTGGTTCAAGTTTTTTTTTAATGTTACACCTACATGTGATAAATGTATTTATCATGCACATTTGTGCAGGATATATTGGGAACAAGGTGGTGTCTGAAGAGCACTGCACTCTGGCAATCCCCAACTGGTAGATTCCTTCCTGGAGACCACTGCAAGGTGGAGCATATTAAAGCAAACCCTAGACTGCCCTAACATGTGGCAAGCCAGGCTGAAAACCAGGGAGGCGTAGCCAGCTTTCCGATGGTTCCACATCTCTCCTGCACTTTGCAGACGCTGGAAGTGGCAGAGAATCTGGTTCAGTGAGTGATAATGGAGGGCTAGAATTCAGCAAAATACTTTTTGAGTAGAATTTCATTTTAAACATTTGAATCTTAACTTTTCGCAGTGTAGCTGCATAGTTCTTGTTAATGGCAAGAAGAGTTATGCAGCATGTGCAGATGATATGGACCTCATGGGTTTTAAATGTAATCTTGGCGACAAACAGAATCTTCTAGAAACAGTGGGCCACATCCTTAGCTGGTGTAAATTGCCATAGCTCATTTGATTTCACTGATATGATCCCACTTTTGCAGCAGCTGAGGATCTGTCCCATTGTTTTTAAATTAGCCAGTGGGGTTAAGAAAGTCCATCTGAGAGTGATGACCCTTGTAAGTCTCCCCACTAAAACCCATACAAATGGTTTTACCAATTTTGCAAAACTGATGTTTGAACAGAAAAGTTTGTGCTTTTTCACTGTGATGAAGAGACATTTTTGCTGGCAATTTCCCCCCTTTGCTGTTAGGACTCCCCTTTTATGGAATGGGGGGGGGGGAGCACTGCAAGGTCTAAGCCTTGTGTGGCTGAATCTGAAGAATATCATCCCTCAGAATTTCCTTTTACATTTCTTTTTAGGTCTCCAGCTGAAGTGATACCTCCCAATAACAGGGCAGAAAGGCCTGATTTAGTATGACTTTCTATTACTGGTGTTCTTCCACTGTTGGAGGATGAGGGGAATTAATTCCCTAGTGTCATTGCTTTGGCATAGGGGTATGCATTATTATTTGAGATTTGTTTTCATATAAAGTTACAAAACAGCATCTCAGGAAAGGTTACTGAGGCATTTCCAGAATCTGCAGTAAAACTAGACAACCTTTTAAAAATCAATTGATCATAATGTTTGCATTTCTGCTTCAAGGTAAATGTAAGTGAAAGAATAATGTATACTAGAATGAAAAGTTACTTGGTATCCAGAGTACTTTACTAATTGAAAAGTAAAATCAATTCATATACTCTTGCCAGTAATTGTTTTTGAGTTTTGGCAACTCAAGGCCAGGTCAGGAACTCAGATTCAGCTTTTCTGTGAGATTCCCTGATTAATTTTAATCCAAGATTCTTTGCTATCCGATTAAGCAGATTTAGTCTGTATAGTTATGACCCATTCCCCCTTTTCCTTCCCACCACCTGTCCTCATCACCTTTATGAAAGCCTCAAGAATCCCCCGTTTCCTTCCCTTTACACTCCAACTCTTGTGGTCACCATTGGTCTGGCTGAAGAAAATTGGTTAGAATTTCCATTGCAGCTCATGGCAGTCCTTTAATTGTTTGGAAAGGTGCAATGAGCAACATTTCTACATCCTGCCTATCCACAAGAGCTTATTTTTAAAGGGCGCTGAGCAACCTCCGTGCTCACTGAAGTCTGTGAGTAGTCAACAACCCAAAGTCAGGCCCAAGTGCCCAGGAATCCAAACTGTATCTCAATGTTACCTTTTCACTGTGCTATGACTTTCAGGAGCTCTATCATTATATTGGTGTCCATTGTATAACTTGAATCAGCTGGACGTTTTGTACCTAATTCAATCTAAAAGCTGTTACATTATATTGCAGTCCATTATATTTCTACATTGCTGAAGTACAAGAATAACTTATGGCCAACCAGCCACTGCAGCATTGACTTCTAGGCTGGAGTTGCAAACATTAATAAGAACCACCTTCCTTGCTCTCCTGTCCGAAGATTTTATGATCTAATGCCTTACTCTATTTTTTTTTTTTTTTTAAACAAAGGGAATAACTTTTCCCTTCAATCTATTTCAGCAGCAATGGCACATATACGACACCATGGTTTTCAAACTTTTTCTGTATGATGCAATAATATTTGTTTACAGAAAATACATTTCTTCAGTTTCAGTGATAACAATTAAATTAGAAGAGATTCCAGTGTATTAAGTTCCAATCTCATGAGGTTCAGGGACAACTGGCTGAAGAATGAGCAATGGCTGATTTTTGCATGTTTCAATATTTTGTAATTTATGGTTTGATATAGTGTGTCCACTTGCCTAAAAACAATCAATTAGCCCTTTATAGTAAGTAGGTCAATATTTTGAATACAATCTCAGAGTACTCTCTTTTTCTGATTGTAAAGTGGTTTACTGATTATGTACGATAGGAGTAATACACATGTGGGAAAGACTTGTTTCTTACCATAGTGAGGAATTATTGCCCAAGCCATGGCAGAAGCATAGATGCCTCCAATCATCCAAAACATGCACAGCCAACTTAAGTGTTCACCACGCTTCTCTCGAGCAAGAACTTCAGAAAAATATGAGAACACTGTTGGAACAGCTCCACCAATCCTAAAGGGAGACACAAACCATGTGTTAAAGACAGAGCAATAGCAAGTCTGAACAAACATCACTACTGTACCTGCTTAGAACCTGAACTAAAAGAGCCTTTGCCACAAAAAAGTGTTCTTATCTTTGTTTGTTTTTTCTTAAGTACATTGCCACTTTAATAAAGGTATTCTATGTGCCATAGGCCTGACTGCAGTGCATTTGAAAACTTTCGGGGAAGCCCCACACTTTTGACACAATTAAATGCATAGATTTTCATGAAAGCAGTATGGTCAATGAAGAAGTGCCAGATTAAATTAATTGTCAGTGAGCTGTGTTATAGAGCTTGCAGAATTGTAACCAGCATAAAGTTGTTACACTTAATTTGACTTAATTTATATGAAAATCCATATGATTATTATGGTAGGATTGGTAGTCTACCAACATGATGACAAAATTCTCATGTAGTATAGAGAATTTTTTAAAATTAATTTTTAGTAAAATTTTCTGGAGTCATGGTATAAGTAATAGCTGCTCTCCCTCCATTCACTCCTTCCCACCCCAACTCCCCAAGTCTTGACTTCCCTCCTTTAACAGAGGATAGGCAAAAAGGACGCTGAAATTTGCAATATCCCTGATTATTGCATGTATGCTTAAAAAGTGTTATGCAGTTATATTTTGTATGATTTGCTAGTAACTTATGCTGATTTTTCTCTTTTTGGTCTTTGAGTATTGAATTTTAATTTTGGATGCAATGACTAGAGAGTTGTTATTTTATTTCTCCCTACTGTGCAATACTGTACGTGCTGGTAACTCTGATGTTACACAGCAATAAATATTTTATTGTTACTCACATTGTTGGAAGATTCCTATACAGTATTTTTACTGAATGAACCAATTACTAATAAAAACAAAGTTTAAGAAAATACATGTGGTTAGAACTGAACAGTTTGAAATGAGAACTAAAGACCTTTTCTTCACTGTAGCATCCTGGCAGTTCTATCCTAGTTAGGCATTTCTAAGGTGCCCATCTTCATAGTAGCTAGGAGTCTAGAAGCATCTCCTACCCTATCCAGGTGGTTTAGAGTACTTGAAATGAATGTTTTTTTATTACAATGAGCATTTCTGAAGCTTGTGCTACCAGGGGCCATACTGCTAAAAAATGATGTCACCTGTGACACCAGCAGTATTAAAATTGGGATCAATAAACCACCATCAATACCAATTTACCAATGAGAAGGAGGAATTTTGTTGTTTAATATTTAAGCAAAATGTTTACTCGTTATGATTGCCAACTTAGATTTAAAACAATGTAAATTGGTTTATTACATCTGATACTAAGCTTGTGTTGTGCTGGGGGTCCAGCATCAATGACACAAATCAAGCCCCTTTTCTGCAATGTAGCCACTGCCTGCAGACAGCTTAGAAATGTCTATTTAAAATACAATTTTACATAAAATTCAGTTCATCTATGGTGAAAATATGGACTTCTCAAAAGGCTACAGTGAGAAAAAATGGTTCAGCTTTCTTCTATAAAACCTAATAAAATTTAAGATATGCATAATTTTCAGCATTAGATTCAGGCCTTTCATTATTGGTCTTTAGATCATTGCTATAGGCCAAAAAGACAGTTATCCGTCTTAAAACTGCAAAATGTTCCATCATGTCCCAGGACTCAAGATTTGTGCTTTCATTTTTCAGTGTTCAAGACAATGTCTATGGGGCTTCAAGGAGTATTTTCATATCACTGAATCTCTCAGAGAACGTGGGATATACTCTGTAAAACAGCTGCAATTCACACCTGGTGAAGTTGCAACTGAATTTCAAGATAAGGATAAATGCACATTTATGTTGCTGTCACACTGGCTGCTAAAACTGATTGGAAGAAAGAAGCAAGTTTACCAACAGGTTAAAACAAATATTATAGAGGAAAAGAGTAATACAAAAATAAACTTCTGCCCTATGAACATTCAGTGGGTTCCAATACGGTTTATTTTAGAAGATGTTAAGGTACTTCACTAAGTGGTTACATGTCTCAAGGGGATTGTTCTTTTGTTGCTTCCTTCTAGGCATCAATTTGCAAAGGATCCATAATAGACTCTTACATATATTATAAATAGCTCCCGAGATTGACTGAAGCATGCTAGTTCTTAAATTCTCTGCCAAAGTTCTGTTACACAGATTCATAGCCCCATAAAATACAACTCTTGCTATAGAGCTAGAAATGTAGTGTGAAATCTTCATCCCCACTCCAGTCCTTTTATGGTGGATAAAAGGGCCAGAATGGTGTAAAGGGGACCTTACAGCCTCATACCAATCTGGGTGAGAATCCCCCTGGTACAGACACAGAAGACAATCATAAGGCTGTTCTCCAAGGATCCCCTTTAAGTCCTGGAATAGGGAACTGCTGGATGTAAGCTTGTGGAAAGCAAGTCAGGGATGAGGCTGCAGCCCACAGTGCTACGGAGATTCTGAGCCTGTGGAGGATGTTGTTAATTTAGACAGGCCCTCAGGGCTGCCTCAATCAGGCTGGGGTCTAGTCTCCAGAACAGCCCAAGACTGGAAGTGTACAAAGGTGTCTTAAAGCTGCCATAACCTCCCCTCCTGGTCTGAGGTGGAGCACTGACTCTCACCCCTACAAAAATACCCTGAATATAGTACTCGCTGCTCAAATTATTTCTTATATTATGTTGGAGAATCACCGGCAGTGGCAGAAACAAGTGTTCCATATCCCTGCCTAATCCTAAGAGGTGTTGAACATGCACTTGTGTTGACTTGGCGATCAAGGTGCTCATCTTTTAGAAGCAACACTTTCACTTGGGGCTTGCTTTAGCCTGTTTCTTTAACGCCATATTTGCTTTGAAAACGAGTTCTTGGCATGGCAGTGATTTTTTCCCTATAATTGATTCTATCCATTAAAGAAGTTTGTGGTAGCCTCTGGGTATATTTAACTGGTATTTACATATTCTGGTCACTCTTCTACTAAATCTTATCACCATATTCTTGCTTCTAAATTTGATTAAATGAGGGTCCAGATTGAAGCAAAAAGGAAAAACAGTCACTTCTAAGTTCTTGTCACCTAGTAGAGAATCTAGTCTATATCCACATATTGCAGTTACTATGGTAGTAGTTACAAATTCAGGTAGCCTATGCAATGTTGTATTAATAATAAATAGTCATATCTAAGTATTTATATAGAGCTTTGCACGTTCATAGCACTTTACAAAAACTATCTAGTACACAAGGACAGTTCAGGCAAATCTGGGGCCCATGACTATGAAATTCAAGATTCAGCATGTAATCTTATTCCCAAATCTCCAAGGCCATGCAAGCTGTGGGGCTGGGACCTTAGCAGAGCTCAAGGGAATGTGCCTTGAGTCTAGAATTCGTACAAGTGTCTGTGGAGGGTTAGGGGGAAATGGCTGGATGTTTCCTAGTAAACTGAAGGAGGGAGGAACTTGTAATGTGCTATATCCTAGTGTCATGATAAAAGGAGAGAGATCCTGATCCCTGACAAGCAGCTTAAGATATCCCCAGGATGCTCTCTGTCAGCATAAAGCAGCTCAAACACCTGTGACGAGGTCTACAAACCCAACATAACACACAGGCAGAAAGAGGTTAAGAACTCTCCCTGCCTGCAGACACCCAAACCAGTACCACCCTGGCACACCTATGAGAAATAAAGAGGGAGGAACAGGGTAAGAAGGGGGCAGAAGAATGTGGGACTTCAAGGGAGCAACAACTCTCTGCCAGTCTTCCAAAGGAGCTAGCAACCCCTGGAAGTACAAAGGATGGGGATAGAAGCCCTGAGGGCCAAGGACTTTTTGACTCGTTTATGGACTATGCCTTTTCTTAGTTGATTTGATTTATTAAGCCACTGCTGCTCAGGTCAAGGTCCAACCCAGGTCACTTCAACTGAGGTTTTGCAAAAGACGGTGTCCATTACTACTGACGGGTGGTACCAAAAGTGGGATATCACTACCACTGAAAAGTGGACAACTCATTAAAAACAAAACAAAAAATGTACAACAAAAAAGTCCCAAACGAAGGTGAATCGGCTCCTACAGTGGCTAGTCAATTCACAAGCACAACAGCAGCAGTGACAACAGCAACTGTTAGAGCAGATGGTGACACACCAGTAACAGTTATTACAATATATGACTGACCTGCTGCCTTTACAAAGCTGCTTGAACCACACCATGGCAGGAGCTGTGCCTACCAAAATTTGGGGAACGTCCCTAGACCTAACGTTTCCCAAGATGATGGCAGATGACGACCCCAAGTCCTTCCTGATAATCTTTGAGAGAGTAGCGTTGGCATCCCAATGGCCCTCAGAGCAGTAGGCTATCCAGCATGCCCCATTTTGGCAGGTGGAGCTCAGGCAGTGTACCAGGACCTTGACTGGATGGCTGCACAAGATTATGAACTCGTGAAGACAGCCATATTGAGACTGATAAGGCATTAACGAAGAGACCTACCATCAGCTCTTCTGCAACGAGAGATACCCCCAAAGGCCAGGCAATGAGCGTTGCCCAGAAACTGAAGGACTTCTGGTGGTGTTGGCTAAAGTCAGAAACTCAGATGGGACCCCAGGCAGTGGAGCTGATTGATGTTGAACAGTTCATACAGATTCTCCCATTGGCAGGCCAAGACTGGGGCTGCAGACACTGGCCGGAAACACTGATGGAAGCGATCCACCTCATGGAAGACTACCTGACTGCTCAAGCTGCCTGGGAGCCTCCCACCAAAGAGGCACCATGGGCCACTATGAGCAACAAGGAAGAGAACCGCACCGTGAGGGAGAGATGGGAACTAGGCCAGATAAGCCCCAGGAAGGCCCTAACACCCAGCTGGGTGTCAGAAAGAGCCCACAATAAGTATCACTCCTAGGGTGCCTCGACAAAAGTCCCCCAGGATGACAGACACCTCCAAATATGCAACAAGACCTTCCCCACCTGCTTACATAGGCACAGGGTCGCCCCGAACCTTCACGGAAGACGATAACCAAAGTTACGGACCGGGGC